TATATTTTTTTTTTTTTTATCTCCAGATATTGCTTTAAAGATTTCCAATTTTGCTTTTCTGTGTCTTTTGCAGTATAGTTTCAAAGGAGTTGCGTATCTACCGTTCTTTAAGCTTAAATGGAGCTCCTTTTTTTTTAAGTTTTTGTGGGTGCTTGTTCATCAAGTTGGGTCATTTTTCACTATCTTATTTCTTTTATGTGAAGCCATTCATGTGTGCAGTTCTTCTTCTTTAGTCAATGATGTTGAGTTTGCATTGTTTTTTGTCTTTTAGTTCTTTTATGATCCCTGGCCATGGATATTTGTCTGTTGTCATTTTGGAGTCTTTTGTTTTTGTTATTAATTAATTGTTATTAGTTTTTACACTTGAAATGAATGAATGTATAATGATTGAAGGATGGAAGAACTCTCTATTCGGACTGTCCGTAGGCGGAGTTTGTTGAAGGTGCGCAGAAACAAGTTTCGCCGAACATGGTCTTACCAAGATTTCCCAACTGATGCCGTTCGCATCGACAATTACTCTAATGGAATTGCTGATACTGATTTTTCGGGTGCGGAAAAAATAGAGCCGAAGTTACCACAAACACCTGCCAAAAAGACAAGGCATCACAAGAAAAAAACAACCTATATCTTACGGTGTATCGATGTAAGTGGCTTTCGGATTCATTGTAATTTGAATTTTTATTTCTGTTTTCTTTTTCTATTCAATTCTAAGACACTGTTTTGTGTTTTATTAACTTGGATTAATTGTTGAGAACTATAAAAAATGGGAAATGTGTGTTCTCTAGCTCGGCAAGGAAGCTCTGGGAGAAGATGGTTATGATGCTGCTGTGGAAAATGATACATCAGATGATGAACTTGACTCTAAATCTGAATATTATAACAATTTTGTTGGTGATGCAGAGGTACAATGCAATACAAACCCCCCTTGGTGTTCTTTTTTATACGTTAGTAAATATTGACCTCCAGAGAAGTTTCTTATCTTCTATAGTGAACCTTAATTTTCAATTTCAATTCGTCCTTTTTGTTATACTTTTTAGCTTCAGGGTTTAAAGGTTGCATTGATTCCCAAATATCGGCACCGGAAACCTCCAAGCCGACGATGTATTGATGTAAGTAGCAGTTGAAGGCTCTGTTCTTACTCTTTTTTTTTTATTTCACTTGGTAGTCTTCTAATACTTTTCTACTTGGTTTTTTT